GGACCAGAGCGTCCACGAGATCATGAGCACCAGAGGACACGGACCAGAGCGTCCACGAGAACATGAGCACCAGAGGACACGGACCAGAGCATCCATGAAATCATGAGCACCAGAGGACACGGACCAGAGCATCCACGAGATCATGAGCACCAGAGGACACAGACCAGAGCATCCACGAGAACATGAGCACCAGAAGATGTGGACCAGAGCGTCATTCACATCCCTCCAGGTTCTGTCTGAACATAGGTACATTCGCCTGAGCTACCTTCATGAGCCCACTATGCCAGGCACTATGGTTTTGGGTCAGAGGAATGGACAAAGCCAGCTGAATCTTTGCTCTCCCGGGTGTACCTTCCAATGGGGCAGCCAAAGCCTTCCAGCAAATGGATGCCTGTTAGGAACACTTTTACCTAGTGTCGCCCCTGAGCAAGGACCTAGATGGCATGGGGAGGGTTGCCTGCCAGGTTCTGTTCCCCCCGCAAGGGTGTGGAGGACAGGAAGCTGTGAGCGGAGCTCTGGGGAAGAGGGGACAGCCTGGGCCCTGGATGGAGAGGCCCACCTGCAGTGCCACGCGGGTCAGGGAGGCTGGAGGGTGGCCCCAAGCCATGCTGCTCTAGGTGGAGGCCACAGCAGAGCTCTGAGGTCTGCAAGGGGCAGGGGCAGGCATGGGGACAGACACCACCAACCAAGAGAGCAAAGATGGAGCCGCAGCATGCTGCACTCACCACGTCTGAGCTGAAGGGCTTCACATGGCCGTTGCGGGCAGAGCTGCTTGTGAGGGACCAGACCTTGGTTTTGTGCTGGAAGGCAGCTCTCACCTTGGAAGCAGAAGAAAAGAGCTGTTAGAGTGAACTTCAGATGCTGAAGTGGCCACTATCAGAGGCCAGCATAAATGGCTCAGGGAACTTGCTCAGATGCAGTCCCAGGACAGGTTGGAGAAAGGAAATTCCAAGTTCCTCAGGGCAATGTGCCTAGGGAGACAGTATCCACTCTGCCTTCCAGAAAGGAGAATGATTCTGCAGTGTCAGGGGCAGGGTGGACATACCTCTGAATTCAGGAGGCAGTGGAAGAGGAAGATGAAGAGGCCCTAGAAGGGGAGAAATGACATTAGAGCCATTGTGTTCAGTCTCAAGCTCTTCCAGGGAGTGGCACTGGCTGGCTGGGGAAAGGGCTTGCTGTGATGGGTGTTGTGGATCCCACCCTGAATCCAGCTGGGCTTTAGTGCCCCACGGGGGGGGGGGAGGGAAGGGGAGGTTCAGAGACACTCAGGGGGTTAGGGGCACTCAGGGCCCCACTGCGGGGGAGGGAGGTTCAGAGGTGTTCAGGGCCCCATGGGGGGGGGCATGTTCACAGACACTCAGGGCCCAGCTGGAGGGTTTAGGGGCACTCAGGGTCCTGTGGGGGGGGTGCATTCAGATACACTCAGGGCCCAGCTGGGCGTTCAGGGGCACTCAGGGCCCCACTGCAGGGGAGGGGGGTTCAGAGGTGTTCAGGGCCCCGTGGGGGGGCACGTTCAGAGACACTCAGGGTCCAGCTGGAGGGTTTAGGGGCACTCAGGGCCCCACTGCGGGGGGGGGAGGTTCAGAGACACTCAGGGCCCAGCTGGGGGTTAGAGGCACTCAGGGCCCCGGGGGGGCACGTTCAGAGACACTCAGGGCCCCATTGCAGGGAGGGGGGCTTCAGAGACTTTCAGGGCCCAGCTGGGGGTTAGGGGCACTCAGGGCCCCACTGTGGGGTGGGGGGGTTCAGAGACACTCAGGGCCCTGCTGGGGGTTCAGGGGCACTCAGGGCCCCGCGGGGGAGTGGGGCACGTTCAGAGACAGTCAGGGCCCTGCTGGGGGTTCAGAGGCACTCAGGGCTCCGCAGGGGGGGTGGGGTGCATTCAGAGACACTCAGGGCCCTGCTGGGGGTTCAGGGGCACTCAGGGCCCCGCGGGGGAGTGGGGTGCATTCAGAGATACTCAGGGCCCTGCTGGGGGTTCAGAGACACTCAGGGCCCTGCTGGGGGTTCAGAGACACTCAGGGCCCCGCAAGGGGGGTGGGGTGCATTCAGAGACACTCAGGGCCCTGCTGGGGGTTCAGAGACACTCAGGGCCCCGCAGGGGGGGTGGGGCGCGTTCAGAGACACTCAGGGCCCTGCTGGGGGTTCAGAGACACTCAGGGCCCTGCTGGGGGTTCAGAGGCACTCAGGGCCCCGCAGGGGGGGGTGCATTCAGAGACACTCAGGGCCCTGCTGGGGGTTCAGGGGCACTCAGGGCCCCGTGGGGGAGTGGGGTGCATTCAGAGACACTCAGGGCCCTGCTGGGGGTTCAGGGGCACTCAGGGCCCCGTGGGGGGGTGGGGCACATTTAGAGACACTCAGGGCCCAGCTGGAGGGTTTAGGGGCACTCAGGGCCCCGTGGGGGGGTGGGGCGCGTTCAGAGACACTCAGGGCCCTGCTGGGGGTTCAGGGGCACTCAGGGCCCCACTGCGGGGGGGGTTCAGGGTCACTCAGGGCCCCACTGCGGGGGGGTTCAGGGGCACTCAGGGCCCCACCGCGGGGGGGTTCAGGCCTAGCTGGGGGCTCAGGGGCATTGAGGTCCCTCTGGGAATTCAAGGGTGCTGTTCCACTGAGGCATAAGCACAGGGACAGGTGGATCCCCAGAGAGGCTCAAGACTGGGATGGAGATCAGATGCTCAGGACATCAGAGTCCTCCCTAGTGGAGCCTCAACATCCAACACTGCCCACTCTCCTCACAGGCCGGGCTTACAGTAACAACCTAACAGATACAAGAGCGGGGTGTCCCAACAGCTGCAGACTGCTAACCAGGCCCCGCCCAGCCCTTCAGGGAGCTCGCTGAGTCCTGCCAGGGGCCTAGGTCCTGAAGGAGGAAAAGGAAAAGGGGTGGGGCGGGGCAGCTAGCGTGCGTCAGGACTGGGAGGGCTAGCCTGTCACACTTCACAGCAATCAACCCAAGGAACACGGTGCAGGGCTGCTCACTCCCAAGGGAGCGCCAGACACCACTGCCTGTGTAGAGACACAAGGAGAGCGGAGAGGAGGCTGTGCCTTGGGGGTGGATGGTGGACTTACATCACCCTTCTTCTGTGGGCCTGTGGGGGTGAGGGCCAAGCTGGTGGCACTCCAGATCTCTGCTTTCCAGGATGGTCCCCATCTGCCTTTCTACCCAGGACACAACCTGGGGTGTCTACTACTAGGCCCCCTGCCCTTCAGGCCGACGCACCTCCCACCAAGGGGCAGCCATCCTGTGGTTGTTGCCCCCAGGGGCTGCTTTCCCAGAACCCCTATGAAGCATGCCTGCTGGACAGCCCCATCCCCAGGCCTTGGGGTCACGCTGCCCCACAGGCTCAAGAGGGGGTAGAGAGAACCGTGGATGGTTTCCCTCCTGCCCCTGGGGTAACCTGCGCTCCACACTCACACTCCCCTACGATCAGCAGCCTGCGGCCTGGCCTGGCCTGGCAGTCAGCAGGCTCTTACCTGCAGGGAGTTAAGGATGGCAAACATGTACTGGAAGACCAAAGCCCGGTCATTGACAGCGAGGACCCCAAACACCCACGAGGTCCCTAGGATGGGCAGCAGCACAACCACAGCCTTTGCCGTCAACCTGCAAGAGACAGCAATGGTCACTCAGGCAAGTGGGTGAGCAGGGTGGACAGCAGGACTGGCCTTGGGTGCCAGTGTCTGCTGGGAGTGAGACCCAGAGTCCTCTGCAGGCCTGGAGGGACGTGGCCCCAGTCCTGTCCCCTCTGCAGGCCTGGAGGGA